CTTCGCAATCTCGTTGTCTGTTCGTTTTAAGTGCGTGTTGATAGTGGCACTCAGCAGGAATGGGCTGGAGATTACCCCGAACGGTATCCTGCAAAACCGATATGTGACAAGATTGTCCTTGGTGCAAGGCCCATTCAAGTCATCCCACCACAGGAACCGCGTTGTGTCTCGGTCTGCCTCTGCGAGGCCAACTTGCAGAAAGGCTTTCTCGATATCGCTAACAATAGCAATATCATGCATTCGGAATCGAAGTCGCAGACCAGCTAAGTCTGGAAGAAGGACCGGCCCTCTGAGCAGACATTCATTGAGGCTTTTTTGCTCCTTGCTGGATTTGGCGGAGGCATCGTACATGATGCAGACTTTCGTTGTGGTTTTACCCGGTTTGATTACACAGTGATGTGGCAAGTAATGTGCCCGTTGCGCAGTCCCGTCTGGACCGGCATTGGGGACCCTTTCGATTATGCCCATCTTTTCCTGATTTCTGATTGTTTCATCGTATTTGAGTTTGACCTGTGGCTTGCCTGCCATTCGTTTCGTGAGAGACTGCAGGCGACCGAAAGCCAGAGCGAAATTGCGTGGTGGTTCCGTAGCGTTTGGCTTCCGTGGCCACTTGACCTCATACCGCCCATTTTTGAAGTCGACGCTGTTGTCGAAATTCTCCATTGCTTTCTCATCTTGAGATTTATCCTCCAGGGGATCTTCAATGCCAATTGATTCGGTTTTCCAGAAATTTTCGATGGTAAATTCTGACATTCTCGTTTTGGGTAAATCGTATGCCCGAAACCAACATTTCGGGCGCTTCATGATCTTGGCTTTCCATCAGGATTCTCCCCGAGGGGATAAAACCAATTTTAGAGTCTAGGAGCATTAAGCCGTCGTCGAAGAGAATGTGCTCATTGCCCATTACGTCAAAGTAGTAGTCATCGCCGACCAGTAAATCAATGGTTACATCTTCTGCATGCTGACTGAGCGAGTCCGCCAAATGTACCCGATTTAGCATTGGGTATTTCTCAGGGTCGATCGGGTATTTTCTAACCGGACAGGAAATGGTTTGCACAACATTGACCGTGAGGGTTTGTGAGGACCCATCCAAAAACTGTACTTGAATTTCAACCACATTGAGCTGTTGGGATTTGCGCTTACTGTCACCAAACCCCGCCAGGGACAACGTTTCCCGACCCGTGGATTTCAGATTGAGTTCTTTTGCCATTTTCTTGGTAATGAAAGAACGACTGCACCCTGTGTCGAACATTAATCTTGCATTCTGTGATTCGTTGCCATGGCGATTCGCAATCACTGTCGTACCACACTGCATTATTACATTTTCTCCTGCGGAGAGCATAGCACTGCTGGCAGGAATAAATTCCTCTGCATTAACACCAAGTGCTGCCGTTGTGTTTTGCCCTGGGCTCTTTGCTCTGTCTGATTGTCTTGATGGGTTGTCCATCGTGTTTGGAAACAGTGTGGGACAAATGCTGCGATGGTGTGTTTTTCTCTTGCAATGGAAGCAAGCCCATGTGACCATCCCGCAAGCAGACAAAACATCTGCTACCGATTTCCGTTCTTCTTTCGTGAAGACAATTAAACTTTTTGCAAGTATCCGAGAAATGGGGACCCTTACAGTACCAACATTTTGGGATTCCTTTTGCGTGGGCAAGTAGTGTTTCTCCAGATGCCCGAAACGCACTGGATGGCGAGACTGGCGGTCTGAAACTTTCTGCTGATTCTGATTTGGCATCGAGTTTTATTGTTTGTGGTTCCGCCCTTTCTCGTGCCCGGATGTATTGACCTAGAGCCTCTCGTAGTTCTGCAACTGTCCATTCCCCCGTTTTGGTATTGGAGAGTTCGAGTTGCAGCATGGTACTCTCAGGCAGTTTCCGTTTGATTAGAGACACAAAAAAAAAGTATGTCTTGGTTTACGTCCTGAGCAATTGCCGTCAGGCTACGCATGTGTGATTCGATGCCGTCATACAACTTGCGCAAAGATTGTGTTTGATGGGTTGCACCGGGTAAGTCAGTTAATGCCACGTAATGCGCGTCAACTTGTGATTGCTTATTGCCAAAACGGTCATCCAATATTGTAAGTGCCACTGCATAGTTGGCATCGCTCACCTCAAGCCCAGATATGGCACTCAGGGCTTTGTCTTTAACCGTTTCCTTCAGGTAAGTTAGCTTTTGAACATTTGACAACACCTTGTTTTCATGAATGGTGGACCGGAAGGTGTCCCAGAATTCTATGAAATTTACTGGATCACCCCGTATTTTTTCAGTTGTAATTTTGGTAGCTCCACGGTTTTTAGGGCAGAGGCATACTGACCGCCCTTGACACACTTACTTAGGCTTAGCAATTCTTGCGTTGATTTTTGCGTTTCCGTGTGGCTGGCAAGCAATTTTGTAATTTCAGCGATGGCTGGGGTGTCCACCGGCAGACTGTGGGCCACTTCCACAGGTTGTTGCTTGATTGCTGCCAGTCGACCAGCCTCTACCATTTGCTGTTCTTTCATGTCCACCATCATGGACTTCATTTGTGCCAAACGTTTGTAGTACCTTGACTCTTCCATTAAAGGGGAAGTTAAGGCAAAAATTAAAATTTCACCGGTTGTAGTCTTCGGGGTGCTGAGTCGAATGGCCTTGGTCCGAGATAGCTGAGACGCTCCGTTCCTACTTGAATCCCAATCGAACTCGCGCACTTCCACCGAAACTGGGTGACCGCGCCCTACTAGATGGGGATTTGTATGCAAAATGCCACTAAAGCGCCATTTCGTTCTTATAAAAGCACGGATGACCGCGATTGGCCCATATGTTGTACTCTTTTGGACGCTGAGTCGACTGGTTTTGGTCCGAAAAGGCTGCGATGCAGCGTTCCTCCTTTATTCCCAATCGAACATGGTTGAAGAAGCGGTCACGTGCTCCTGGGTGCCCAAATCACCTGGTCACAACGCCAGCAGGCGACAACTTTCACACCAAGGTTCAACTCGAGTGACAGGACTGCACCCAAAAAAGGTCAAACAGGCTAGTAAGTTGTACCCTGCAGGCACGGTGACCAGGTGACTGGCGTACGCAGGAGCACGTGACCGCTTGTTCAACCATGTTCGATTGGGAATAAAGGAGGAACGCTGCATCGCAGCCTTTTCGGACCAAAACCAGTCGACTCAGCGTCCAAAAGACTACAACATATGGGCCAATCGCGGTCATCCGTGCTTTTATAAGAACGAAATGACGCTTTTAGTGACATTTTGCATGCAAATCCCCATCTAGTAGGGCGCAGACACCCAGTTTCGGTGGAAGTGCGCGAGTTCGATTGGGATTCCAGTAGGAACGGAGCGTCTCAGCTTCCTCGGACCACGACCATTCGACTCAGCACCCCGAAGACTACAACTGGTGAAATTTTAATTTTGCCTTATCTTCCCCTTTAACCAATTTTCGTGTTCTTCTAAGGCCATTTTTTTGTTTTTTTGCCATCTTTGTCGACGGGATTCTATTCATACACCGCGATCCCATACCGTTCCACAAGGCTACTCAATTTGTCCACATATTCTTTAAATTCAGTTAGGAACACTCGCAGCTTACGGTATGTTGGTGTCGACTCTGCTTTAGCGTGCGACTCACTGTCGCTTTCATTACCGTCGTCATTGATAGCGTGGGCACTTGCCAGCCAAGCGTCGCACTGCCGTGTTTCGTCTTCGAACGCACCGATGTGCACAGCAAGCGCCCTACCGAGGGCCTTCACCGATGCCACAGCAGGTGTCATGATGACAGGCTGCAGGTTCTATGGTCGGGTTTCGGTACCAATTTTATGTGGTAAAACACTTCACTTTATACTTGTACAATCATGCACACACTGTCGCGGACAGCTGGCCAGCAGCTGCCGCGACAACTTCAAGATGGGAGAGAGACCTGGTTTGTTGTCACTTCTTTCACCACATAAAGAACACTGCTTGGACAGGACCGGCAGAAGGAGTGTTTGATTGGTCCGGCCAAACCCTAGCCTGCCATACTTTGTGTATGATATGGGTGACCTAACCAGCAGTAAACACACGTGGGTGTCCATTGAGTTGGTCCGGCCATGGCCTGACCAGCCGTACTGGTTCCGCCGGGCCTGTTGGAGAGAGAAAACTACCGAGAGAAGGACACGAAGCACTACAACAGAGCGCTCCGAAAAAGGATTCGCTCGCACGGCAGCGTACGCGTGCCGTGCCAGCGTACTGTGTGCAAAAATGTGAAACCAAAAATAGATTATCATGATTTTGCTGCGTGCAAAACCCAGCCAGTTTGGGAAGTGCATCGTATACGCGTAGCGAGCGCGTATCGACGCACTGGAGCGCTGCCAGTGCGTGCATGCAAAAAAGGAAAATAAATAAATCAGAAAAAATGCAGTTCAAATAAATCGACAGTTCGATCGAAGAGATCAAATAATCCCACACATGCAATTCATTTCAGAACAAGATTATAGAGCGAAGCTAGTCATGTGTCAAGCTACCTTACTACAAATACTTACTATACCTAGAACTTAGCTATGGGCAGCGGACCTGGACCCTATCGCTCCTGGGATATACCTTAGGTAAGAGTGCGACGAAAGACAAAATTAATTGTAAATACATGTAATGTAAATTCAAATAGCACTCGCAACATGTATTCAAATATTGACAGTCCGGCATTCGCACATATTGCGACAGGCTAAAAGTTTCATTTAGAGATCGACCAAAGTTTCTCACCGGCCAAAACTTGTTGAGTTACAGTGCATTGTAGTGTATATTACGGTTTCCATTCTTATCTGCAAAAATTTCAGCCTACTCCGTTCCTAAAAATTAGTGAAATTCTAGCCTGGCCGTTCTTCAGCGGTCCGTTCTTCGTCGCCCGACAGTGCTGTAAGCATGAAACTCAGGGTGGCTACAAACCAGCCTTGATTACCCTTGTTGTTCTGTGTATTACACTCTGTCGCCATGGCAGTTCAGGAGCACATTTTGTTTTCGGTAAACTCTCCTTTTCTTTGCTTGCAGTACCTAGCCAAGCGCCTGTGATTGCCAACCTAACCGTACCTTCGACATCTTCCGTCCACGTACAGTGGAAGGTAAGCCAGGACACAATCATATCCGCCGCGCCATATCCAGCTTGATTGTGCTAGGCAGGGAAGTGACAGGGCAGTGGGGAGTGATACCACCCGCATGAGAGGGGGGGAAGGGGGCATGCTCATTTTGCTTGTGAACAGAAGAGTCGTAGGGCAGTGGGGAGTTGTACCCCGGGGAAAAATCAGATTTTTCGGCCAACAGGGCACATTTTAGCTTTCTTGTATTGCTTCTCCTTATTTGGATGAATTGGGTGCACCACCCTGGACGAAAAGTAGCCTGACCATAGTTGTACAGATCTTAACATGTGTGACACCCCTGGCGTTACATCTATGGATGTATGTGTCACAATATGCGCTTGATTTATCGGAAACCCTGTCAGAGGACTTTTAAAAGTCTGTTTGATCAAGATCTAAACTTCTTGTTTCAAGCTAGCTAGCACACACTCGCACACACGCACACCCACACGCGCGTATGCACACACACACACACACACACACACACACACACACACACACACACACACACACACACACACACACACACACACCTTTTGGACCTTTTTGACGCCATCACCTGAGGCGATGATAGCGATGCTACAGCAGAAGCCATAGCAGCTTGTGCTGGGATTGCACCATTCAACAGCTTGCAAGGCTGAAGAATTGACCGCCACTATTCAACCTGGTCAACACCACATAGCTATGAAGTGGCTTTTTCTGGCCAGTGAATCCCTATTTTTTTTCTTCATTTCACACACACACACACACACCTGGTCCTGGTAAACACTGCCATTATGGTCAGGTGTCCCCTTGCGGGGCCGACAACTTGGAAACGACGAGCGACGGCAGAAAGTCGGCAGTCTGCCGAGAGATCAGGGACCATGTTCAATCGGCACGACGAGAGAGCCATCTTTGGCAGCTATGGATTTGGAATTCACGAGTAGAGCGGCAGCACCGACCACAGGCCCCACAGTGAGCCTTGCAGCATGAGAGGGCGAGCCGCACACGCGGCGGCGGAGGAGTCGCCTGAGCAGCAATGGTAGACACCGCCGCCCGGCACGGAGCCTGACCCGATGTCGCGGGGAGAGTCCGGGAGTTGGGGCACTTGTGGACTGCCAAACCTCCGGCACTGCGGAACCAGCGCTCGCAGGAAGAACATTGTCAGCTACCTCTCTGTTCCGATACAGGTTTGCGGCGCTCATCGAGGCATTTATGAGGAGGCAAACCACTCTTGGAGAAGAGACGACCACACTCGGCACAAGGTATCCGCAGGGGCTCACAAACGGGTTCGGGCGGGGGCAGACCATTGTAAGCGGCCCGCCATTCCCGCCTATCCTTGGCCAAGTCGTACCATTCATTGATGCCTAACGCTGCCAGATCCTTCCGCGCAGCAGCGCGCCACCTTTTCCTCGGGCCGCACATTGGACGGACAGGATGTAGGGTGCAAAACAGTAGCTGACGCGGGGCACGCTCCTCATGCATTCGCACAACATACCCAAGCCACTCCATGCGGCACGATGTCAGCAGGCTGGGGATGTCACGGGGCTGACGCGGATTCCACCGCTCCAGAACATCAACCCTGGTCAGTCGTTCGTCCCAGACATTCCGCTGGTTGATACCCATCACGAAACGGATGCAGCGCAGATGGAAAGAGCACAGTGCATCAAGGTCGGGCTTCAACGGCACCCAGCACTCGGCACAGTACAGAAGCAGAGACAGCACGCATGCCCCGTACACAAGCCGCTTCGTAGCAAGTGAGAGGTTGCTGTCATTGAAAACGGGCTGGCGCAGGGCTCCAAATGCACGTGATGCACCGGCAATGCGCGAGCTGATATCTAGGGTGGATCGGCCATTCGTGTGAAAAAGAGAGTCAAGATACCGAAAACTATCTACGCACTCGACCACCTCACCCGCTACATCCAGGGGCAGCCGGTCTGCATCAACATCATATGCTCTTTCCACACCAATATGACAGCAACGTTGAAGATCCCGGGAGTTGATGCGCCACCAATTGAGGTGCAGAACCGCCTCCGGCAGGGTTGCTGCATGGCACCGGTACTCTTCAATCTGTTCGTGTGGGCCGTTTTCCAGCAGTGGCATCGTGCTGTTGCCGACATTCCTGGCGTTGGTATTCCTGTGGCAACAAACCCTGGGGGCAGTCTTCTATTCAGTCGGAAGTCAACAGACAAGAGCAAGGTCCATCGCGAGTGTCAATTTGCAGATGACTCTGCTCTGCTGGCTACCACTCATGATGGTGCACAGCGGGCCCTTGACCTATTCATACATGTTGTAGCGTCTTCTTTCGGCTTGACAGTCAACCTGGACAAGACAAGGTGATGACTGCTGGATATGGACTCACACACACACACACACACACGCACGCACACACACACACACACACACACACACACACACACACACACACACACACACACACACACCACCCCCCACCACACCTGGTGTTTGCTTGTAGCCCATGTTGCTCATCTCCCTGTATTTCTTTACTGCTTCTCAGAACATACCAACACACTCCATCAACGGGCAGCTGCGTGGCTATCGCATCACCTTTGCCGCCACCCAGTGCACGGGCTGCTCCTGCTCCGCCAAGTCCTGCTTCGCTGTCGGCGCAGACATCATCCGCACAAACACATCCAGGAGCTCGCACGTCCTGAAAGGACTGTACGCCAACGTCGACTACGTCGTTCGCGTGCAGACGTTCAACGGCGTGGGCAGAGGTCCGCTCAGTGCACCAGAGACAGTGCTAACAGCGCTCCCAGGTATGTGTGTGGCACATTGTGCAGGTGTCGCTGTATTGTTTATTGTTGTTATTATATGTCTGAAGAAAGTGTTGAACGGTCTCTGCTGGGATGACGACCACACAATAGCTCAGTGGTTAGAGCATCGCTGGCTACAGGCAAGGGTCCTTGGTTCGAGTCCTGGGGGTGAAAGTCAATTTTTCTTCAGACTTTTCCCGTTTGTGTCTCTCCCTGAAACCAGTGAATATGTTATTATTATTATTATTGTTTTTGATCACCGCAATCAGTAGTACAAGCTGGATCGACATTTGTGTACACTTTATTCATGTAATGTAAAACAGTGGAGACAATGTGCAATAAAACGATGAAAATGTGAAGAAATGGTGTAGAGAAAATGAGGATTCAAACAAGTTTTCGTACAACACTCGTCAGGAATCTTCGTTGTACAAAAGGACAATGAAAACAAAATTGAACTATTATAGAAAATCTAAGTTAGAGAAATAACACTAAGAACAACAGCAGTGAAATTTACAAGTGTGAATTTATACAATGAAAGCGAGAGCAATAACGAATGCGTGTGCTAACACTAAACTTGCAACTGAAAAATGAACAAACAAGAGAAGGGGACAAAGTGATAACAAATAACAGCAGTACATCACAATCATTGTTCTTACAGGACTCAGGAATATTTCGGAGTCTAGCTTTGGCTGCTGAACTCAATGCGTGATCGCTTTTGCGACGAGTCCGATCCGGGTCATGACATAAGCATTTCCTAAATGTCGACATGTACGAGTACATGTATGTATAACATGTTATACAATGATCGCAAGGCACACAACGAACAGGAAAGAGCGGATTTGTTCAGAACTGTTTTCTTGTTACAATCGTCAGTGAATCTATGTACCATAGCTACGCGCATATAGGCGCATGTGCCTGGATTCGGATATCAGCGAACTCTCAGTTATAAGCGTAAGCGCATGCTCTTATAGACGAAGCACTACCAAAATTCTCACTTTGACACAATCGCGGATAAAACTCCGCAAGCAGCATACAGGAACCATGAAACCGACACTCCAAGACCTAGTCAAACGCAGACTCTGGCAAACGAACTCTGATCGCGCATCCGCGGTTCGGTGAAAAATATTTCATTTTTGAAAATTTGATTTGTAGCAAAAATTCGCTTTTAAGTGCATGTGCTTATACGTGCGTTACTACGGTAACAATAGAGAGGTTAAGATGCACGTGACGTGACGAGCAATTTCACGTCAAATTTGGCGTAAAACTCCTAATTTCGACGTGAGCAGCAGGTCACTCGCGTTGATTTTTCGACGAGCGAGCCAAATAACGCGAGCTGAACTTTCGCGTCACGTCAAAAATAACGTGCATCTTAACCTCTGTAATGGAATGGGGACTACTGTAAATATACAAATTTTCGGCAGCTATTTAATTTCTGCTATATTCGGCACCGACCCAAAACGCCTAAATTAAAACGCCGATGAAATTTTTCACAGCATCTGTCGCATTATACCAGGCCCTCTACCCCACGCCGAAAATAAATCGCCGCCGAAATGTCAAAAATCGTGAAGTGCCGAAATTTTGTATATTTACAGTACTTGAAACTAATCTTAGACAGTTCTCAGATCCTCAGGCTGCGTACAGTGCTCTATGTCCAGTGGACAGAGCCAGTAATTACGCTGTCTGAGGAGTGTTTTCACACGAAACTCCGAGTAACAGCCGGGAAAGAGATTTGTTTGCTTCATTGCTGTGTAATCTTTGAAACTAATCTTATATGGACAAATAAAAATGAAGGAAAAAAAGTGCACAAAAAGTGCTCTTCGTGCACAAGACCGGGATCCCGCTCACCCAAATGCACTGATAACGTATAGAATATTGTTCATCACTGATGCTCCACACGCCGTTCGGACGATTGCCAGTCTTGCCGCCTTCATAACTTGTGGCCGGCGTCGGCGTATAGCGGATTGGCGTGGGTCGTTTGCAGCATCTCTCGCCCTTCGGGGCCCTTCCCTCTTTATCGTATGTGCCAAAAACGGCACAGCCTTGTTCCTGCCAACGGGCATGGGGCGCACAGTACGTGACGTACTGCATACCGTACGACAGGAGAAGAGGTGCCACTCTAGCTCAACTAGCAAGGGTATCAGCTCCCTTGAAGGACAAAGCGTGGTCCCCTCAAGCTCAATAACTTAGTGAGTACAACGCAGACGATTTGTTCTGAAGATTTCGTCATCGTACGACAACACTTGGTGACCTCTGCCATTAGCTGTAAGCCATAATTGCTCAACTAACGAAAGTGCCAAATCCCTTGCTGAACAACATTTATCATGGTTCTTACAGAACTCTAGAATATTAATTTTGGAGTCCAGCTTTTGACTTTCTGGAGCCCAATGCTGGATCGTTTACACGACGAGTCGGATCCGGGTCATAACATACCCATGAAACGACATGCCTGCACCGCGACTCAATGACATTCAGTTTGTTGTAGCGAAAACAAAAATGTTTTATAGGGTCACGTTTGTGGAGTTGCAAAAAAAGAAATGGATAAAATGTTGAAAGTTCACAGCAACAGTTCAATACCGTAGAATCCCGCGGATAAGCCGATGGGCTTATCTGTTTCACAAGGACATTTCGGTGGGCTTATACAAGAACATGGGCTTATACGCGGGCATGGGCTTATACGCTGACACCAACATTGTCAATGTGCTATTGAAAAGTACCAAGGAAGTGAGAATTACATTGCTGAAAGCCACTGTGCAAACAGAAACAACCGATGATTGTGTTGAAATGTACAAAAAAAAAAAAACCTAAACACTCGTACTACGTACATCATACATGTACGTGGTACGACCAAGAGTCCATAATTTATGGACTCTTTCCATAATTTATGGACTCGTGGTACAATTTAGGCCCATGGGCTTGTACGACGAAGCCTTGTGATGTTCGAACTTTCCCTGGGCTTATGCGCGGGTATGGGCTTATCCGCGGGATTCTACGGTATTAAAATGTCATGACATGCAAGTTTTCTACATCTGTGATCAACTGTCATTTTTTGTTTCTGTTTTTCATCTTCCGCTCGATGTTCTTCTGTGTACTCGTGCAGTAAAGAGTGGTGCAAACGTGTTTGATCTCAAACACGCCTACATCTACGGTGGCATCGTGCTGGGCCTCATTGTTGCACTGGCTGTGCCGGCCATGGTCTACTCGCTGTGCCGCAATCGGGACACGCGGAAATCAGAACCTCAGCAGCTTGGACAATTGATCAAGATGCCCTCTGCCATGAGCTGCGCTGCGAGGTAGGTGACGGGCAAAAAAATCGGGCGACTGGTGCGCACGCTGTTTGAGAATCCAGGGATAGTACTTGCTTGACGGCAAACCTTAATGATAGCTGTAGTTTTAAGCTCAATACAGTTTGGACAATGAGACATGGACGAGTAAACTAATGAGGAGCAAGAAATGCACAACCAGTAGGTAGCTGAAACACAAGAGAAGTCCCGAGCCAGTGAAGCACACGGAATTCTGGCCTACGGGAAACGGCCTGTGCGACGTACAGACAGCATGCAACGCACACACAGTCATAAGTGTACAGTAGTGTACGCATAACAGAGTCCAGATATTAGGACAATAGCTTGCATCGACCCCGGTCCTACTGGTGGGACGTCCTACACAGACATGCTGCATGGCCTCTGTTCTAGCATTGACCCCGGTCCTACTGGTGGGACGTCCTACACAGACATGCTGCATGGCCTCTGTTCTAGCATTGACCCCGGTCCTACTGGTGGGACGTCATACACAGACATGCTGCATGGCCTCTGTTCTAGCATTGATCCCGTTCCTACTGGTGGGACGTCATACACAGACATGCTGCATGGCCTCTGTTCTAGCATTGACCCCGGTCCTACTGGTGGGACGTCATACACAGACATGCTGCATGGCCTCTGTTCTAGCATTGACCCCGGTCCTACTGGTGGGACGTCATACACGGACATGCTGCATGGCCTCTGTTCTAACATCATACACAGACATGCTGCATGGCCTCTGTTCTAGCATTGACCTTTTAAACCTGACCGTAAACTGTTGCTTGGCGGCTGACGACGGAGTCCACACATTTTACAGGTTATCCAACCAGGCGGAGTATGACATTCTATGGCAACATGTTGCACTCCACTGTCATTGTAAGCTTAGTGACTATGCACCATACAAATTCCTCATCATGACCTATAAGCCATGGCCATAATTCACATTTTTTGACCTGGTTGCTAGCGCTTCGACTGTAGCGAATGTGGCCATTTTGACAATGGTTAAAACTTAAAACTTCACCTGTGCATGTATAGCTGGTCTCTGTGAAATCCAACCCACAGTCCGAATCGCGTGCCCTAGACCAGTTCCGATTATTACATCGTTTTATTTGTACATGTGTACGTCGAGCCGCAGTTGTGCCACTTGCAGGGCGATAAGTACTGTGCAAGTCGGGGAAGGGGGGGGGGGGAGGCAGATATGCACTCTTTGGGTTGTATTTCACCAAACGCTACTGTACAAAGCCCTGAACACGGCCGTGCATTTTTGTACCATTGCTTTGACTTTAATACAAAGGTTGTGGGAGTTGCATTTTTAAACTTACTAATCTGAACTGAACAATTTGTCTCGGGAAAATTCTCAACCGGAAGCACTTTTACAAAGGGATTTCCTGTGTCCTACCGGTAGGACGGCATGCAGGCTATCATTAACATTTGCCAGCAATGCCGTCAGGCGAAATAGCACGTCATAGTACATTTGAGATCAGCGGGAAGAAGATGACGACGTCCACTAATTAGTATCTGTGCACACGAATCTGCTGTGTGTGTGACTGTGTGTCAGCCGACTGACCAGTAATTTCGCCTGACGTGTAATGGAATAGCAGACAAAAATTGCATTGGCTTTAATACTTCAATGATTTTATAATAAAAAAGAATGGTGAGCGAACATTTTCATCGACTTGGTTAGCAGTTTTCAGGCTGCTGATTCGAATGGCCTCATCTCTTCTGCGGAGACGGCGATTGACAACTTTAAGACCATGTGCATGCGAACTTGCCCTCGGTATTTCGCATTCCTATGGTGAATATACAGCGTATAGTAATACAGTTGTGATCAGGAATTCTGACCCAAAGTGCATAATTTGGCGCCCTCAGCTGGAACGGCCCTTGATCACCTGGAAATGGCACGAATGAGACTGGACGTGTGCACATGTGCTGTACAAGTACAGTGATATAATCGGAACTGCTCCAGGGCGCCAGTTTTGCACTTTTTTCTTCTTCTTTTTTTCCTTTTTTTCTTTTTTTTCTTTTTTCCTTTTTCTTTTTTTCTTCTTTTTTTTATTTGGCTCAGAATTCAGTGAGGAAAAGTGTACAAATGCCAACGCAGGCTTGCACGTGCTGTGTCTCCACAAAGATATTATCATTCACATGCACAATATTGGTTTTCTTCATGTTCATTCCCTGTGCCGGTGTTCAGCAACTTTGATCTGCCAGTGACGTCGCGCAGCTTCACCAACCTTATCGGCGCCCAAGTGCATGTACCGGGTCTTGACGACGTGGCCAGCGGGTCTCGCATCCTCTACCAAGGCTCGCCCGTAGCCTCTCCGCTACCCCTGCACCCGCAGAGGACCGACTGGCCGCAGATGCACCACATGCCAGCCGAGGAAGGCCTGGAGACGTTTGGCAAGAAGGTGGAGCACGACTACGACATACCTGAGATGCTCATAGCCAAGGCAGCGGCCAGAATGTCGGCCGCTGACCCCACCAACGCCGCTCCACATTCGCCAGTGCCGCAGGCCGCAGAGCTTTCTTCCTCATTTGTGCCAATTCCGTTCGAGGAGGGCGTCGTGACGGTACCGGATCCAACGGAACCACAGCCTAACATCTAACACATAGGGTGAGTCTGGAATTACGGTTTTTCCTCATGGGAGATTTGTTTGTTGTAATCATATTCTTTCTTTCTTTTTTTAAAACTACTTTGGCTTGTGTTGGCTTTGTTGCTGAAAGCTCTCAACACGAATTCATACACCGTCAACCCGGGCGAAATAGCACGTCAAAGTACATTTGAGACCAGCGGGAAGATGATGATGACGTCCACTGATTTATTATCTGTGCATACGAATGTGCTGTGTGTGTGACTTTGTGTGTCAGCTATGACATCAAACCCTGTGGTTCCATGCCTAGCATGCAGGTCAGAACCATCCTGCAAAGTTTGAATGATGTAGGTTGAACGATCGCGCGACGAACCATACATTTTGAAATTCTCTTCGTAGTATACCTTCCGCCATTGAAATTTCGAATTTCTTGCTGAGAGGGGTAGCTTGCAACCTCGATATGGCTTGTTCCAGGCATGCTGTGAAGCGAAAGCCTGTTGAAGTAGTGGCAGGGATCTGCCCTGCAACTGCTACAACAAAAAATGATTCGATCTGAGAAAGCATGAGACCGCGAATCTCGGTTGAATATTGAGTGTTCAAGCCTTTTTAGACGAAGATGGAGTTCTTTTGGAGATGGATGTCGCGGCAAAGGACATGGTTTCCGACTTCTAGCGTCTGGTGAAGCCAGGGATCATTTTGTCCAGTCAGGTCGGAAGCTTAACCGTCGGTAAGCTTGTGTTTGGCCGAGAGTTCGAAAACTCCGTGCACGGCGGCTGCTGCGAATCCAGAGAGTTCAAAAACTCTGCAGACGACAGCTGCAGCAGGGAGTTCGAAAACTCCGTGCACGGCGGCTGAGTCCACGATGTTGAACTCGGATTTGAAAGGCTCTCTGTAGCTGTGACCATCAGCCCACGTGGAGGCTTGACCTCGAGGTCATCTGTGAGCGCCGCATACGGGTCCCCGTTGACATGTATGTCGGGCGGACCTTGGTCAACGCCGTACTCATGGTACTCGATCGTACAACGGGACGGCCTGGCCCTGCGTACTAGATCTATAAGTACGGGACAGAGCAGCTGTAGGTGCACCCAAGGACACACTACTACAACACTGTCACTCGCAATACATGTGGTGCTACTCTGCATGTGTGTGGATTCCTGTTGCATTCGCAACTGCAACTGATCCTGTGCAGTACGCACTGTCCTCGCCGCAGACACAGACTCCAAATACTGGCGCACTCGATCAGGGTTGCGTGGGTACCGTACACCCGTCCCCTCGCTGGTGCACGTACTATTGTAACGGCTCATGCTAGCCAAAACTGTACTCGCACGAGTGACAGCATCCGTATACTGTTTTTCCAGATCATCAGCATCCTTGCATAGACCATCAAGCAACACACTGTCCTGACTGGCACTACTACATGTACAGGATAACACGGTGATGATCTCCATCACGGCATACGGCATTCAGGCCGTTCTGAAGTAAAACAAGATTGTACTTGATCTTGTCTTTATCTACATCTGGTTCATCGATGGCGATGAGTAGTCCGCGGCGAAGGTTCGTGAAGGTTGCCTTCGCCTTGGCGAGCTTCAGCTTCACTGCGTCAGCCATCGTCTGAGAGGCTCGAAGGACCAATTTACAATTTCTAGAATGAGACTCGAAGATTCATTATTGTAAGGAAAATATTTCTCTCTTGTCTCGATGGAGAAAATGCAAAGAACAAAGCAGTGAAACATGCGGCCAGCAAATCAAGGGACGATCCCGTTCTGCTCGATGTGGTTGATCACAAACAATTTTGATATCGCACAAATTGATAGAAATCGCAAAGCGCCACTGTGTTGCCGTCCTATGCCACGAGAAACTCCAATCAGGCAATTATGTCCTCTGCCTTCTTGATTGAATGTCCACTTTTCAAATAACGAACAGCACAACAATCAAGGACGGCTTTGCAATGAAAAATACAGCTGCTGGAGCTGAAAAAAAAGAAGAAAAAACGTGCTCAGGATGAGACTCGAGTACACGCGTACTCTCCCAGCAGGTTCTGTGGATGTCTCTCATAGATACGTAATTTCCCGTGACGTTTACCACTGCCACCATTTTGCATTCTTCACCAGCCCCACCCAAACCTGCTAAACCGGGCTACAAGCAGCCCATTCGCTGTCATGGTACTGGGCTCATGCTGTCTGTAACGCTGTGTATTGAAGAGGTGAATACAATGTCATGTTCATCCAGGCAGGGGATAGTAAAATACTAGAAAAAATGATCATGCTCCATACATGTGATATCCATGCACATGTCTTAGGGACCATCGCAAAAGTTCGCAGAAGCCCCCGAAACGAAGACCGTTAGTTTCGGGCCTGACCCTCCCCCCTCAAACGAAACGACAGTCACAATATGGGCTTCATTATCTCACTTGGATGCTCACACATAATAATTATTATAATATACTACACAGCAGGGGTTCATAAACCCTATGAACCCCTGCTAGTACTAGTACTAGCAAGAGTCCATAAATCACGCGTTTTATGGACTCTTGGTACTAGACTACACACAGTGTACAGGCAGCCAGCTACGCGACACGCGCAGTTGCATGAATGGACTACGCGTCCTGACAAGCGATCTACGCCGGCTGTGATGGCATGCTAATCTTTATCAGCTCCTACATGTCGTCAATACTTTTTTGAATTGAAGCCCGGTTTGCGATTTTCGACACCGACTCCCTCCCCCCCCCCCCCCCCCCCCCCAAACGTAGGCTCTTCGTTTCAGGGGCTTCTGCGAACTTTTGCGATGGTCCCTTATGTGTTGACGTCACTAAGACGTCACTAGGACTCTGCATGCACGCAGGCCAACCTGTGGTTCCTTGCCCTTTTGCTGTTGTCCTATCTTTCGAGGCCTTGAGGTGACTTCCTCGTCGTTGGCTTATGAATAGAATTATGCATACAGGTAACATCCTTGTCTCAGTCTGACTTGTAATACTACACCAAGGCTTAGTATAGCGATAGGTACAGTAACACAGAAAATGCAATGTTTGAAAACGTGAAATAAAATTAAAACTACTGTCGTGGACATGGAAATCCGGTCGCGTCGCACGTCTAGCGGCCCCAGGGCGCTGGCCATGCAGCCGTAGCACGTATTATCATGCGCTGCTGCTGGTCGCATCGCATCAACATGATTGCGCACTGCATGCAACGACTTACGTTCTGTACGCGCCGAGGGCACCGGGCCCGGTCAATTGACTGGATTTCCATGTCCGCGACAGTAGTTTAAAGCAGAAGAAGAAAACACATGGGAACGAGTTATGAAGCAACTTTCCACGACTGTAACAAGATAATAAGCAGTCGAGGGGCACAAAACTGACAGGCTACTGAGACATTCAGTGACGTAAGACCTAGCTCTAAAACACATCTCCAGTGATCATAACTCACCATGGCTGGTTGAAACCGCCCGCATCACATGTTTATTGGCACTATGTCATCGTGATTGTGGAATAATAATTATTATGACTTGTTCCCATGTGTTTTCTTCTTCTACTTTACATTCCATACTGGCTCATTATCCGAGTTCAAATTTAAAACTAGTTTATTCGCCTTGATCCAAGAGGGTGGTGGCGTTCCTGCGGATGCGGAAAACTGGGCCTTTGGCCGAGTCTCCCGCGAACCGTGAAATTTTTTTTATTTTTTTTATTCAAGGGGTCGAATTTCAGTTTCCAGTACAGTCAGCCCTCGCCTAACCGCACACATCCGTTCTCCACAAAAGTATCCAGGGAGGGAACCGGATAATCAAACATACATACTGCATGTATGCATGGCATATGCTATAAATCGGCAGCCAACGATTTTCTTCCCGATGGCGAGGAGTCCGGATAGAAGAGGACCGGATAAGCAAGGTCTGACTGTACTTCATCTGTAGTTAAAAGCGGCAGCTTATATTTGGCGCTAATAGTAAATGAATCTGGCTGTTGGTTGCTACTATGTCCAGTCAAGTGTTCAGCTCAGCAGGAAGCGTCTGTTTCACGCAGGAGCAACCAATTTCATTACCTTTAAAATATCTGCGATTCAAAACCTACGGTATTCTAAACTTGTGCATTCCTGTCATTGATTTGTCCCTTGCAGGGAACTTTAACGCGTAGCCTGGAGTTGCATAACAAGATGAACCAACTGGGATCGACACGCTCTGCTCTGCAGTCTGCTCTGTGATGACGCACATCACGTTGTGCCCTTCCTTGAATCTAACGCAAAGTTACTCAGTTTCCTGGGAGAATACATGTTCGCGCGTGCCGTGCAGTGTGGCAGCTTGAGCGGCTCTGCTTGTCAAAGCACAGGCACGTTGACCAACTGGGGCCAGTTGGAATCCAACAGCAGAGTCAAATACGATACCCCGATTCCTTATTGATCGTGGTGCTCCGCTGGCCATCATGGCGCTGTCTGAATTCTCTTTCACCGAAATCATGATTATCATTCAATACTAGTTTTGTCTGGACGGGACAACGTCCCACCGTAGCCACATTAACCATTGTAGCAGCAAGTCACTTTCTTGACATTTGTGTGTGTGTGTGTGTGTGTGTGTGTGTGTGTGTGTGTGTGTGTGTGTGTGTGTGTGTGTGTGTGTGTGTGTGTGTGTGTGTGTGTGTGTCTGATTCACTGAAATCTTTCATTTTGCAAAGTTGCTTTCCTGTGAAATTTACCTTGTCTGTCTTCTTCTTTTTTGGCATGCATTTATTTAGCCGCGGTGGCTCGAACGTCCACCTGTTGTACGTCCGCTTGTACACACGCCAGCACACACAACTGTTCTGAACTCACATGTATGTACATGTTACACCACCGACTTCTCGACGGACTAGCTTTTCTCAACGTACTGCTGTGCATAATAATTATTATTATGTGCACGGTGTAGTCTGATTGGACTGGCCATGCGTGCACGCTTAGCACTTCTAGTAATAGAAGTTCTAGCCGCAGCCTCCAGGCAGCCTTTCTCAAAGTTCAACAATAAAGTCTGTATTGCGTATTACCAAATATGGAAGGTATGAGTAATGCATGTGAGTACGCTGGGATCAGCAATGCACTGTTCAACACGCCAGACGACCATGCCCAGGTGGCTGTGTGGGGTGTTATGTGAGTGCGCTGGGACCAGCAATGCACTGTTCAACACCCCCAGACGACCATGCCCAGGTGGCTGTGTGGGGTGTTATGTGAGTACGCTGGGATCAGCAATGCACTGTTCAACACGCCAGACGACCATGCCCAGGTGGCTGCGTGGGGTGGTTCGTGGTACACATTACTAGTACGTCAATGCGCAATGGGCGTATTGCTGGGTTACCATGGTTACAGGGAATAGCGACAATGCTGCCACAGTGTTATGCTAGGGCAGGCAGTTGTAACATACGGTGTTTCTTCTGCATTTTTTAAAAGGTCCAAATTTATTATTTTACCTCGTTGGAACGGTTAAAAAATCAAATGATTTTTGCAGATAGCGAATTCCAAAGTTGAAACTTCATTTGCATGTACCGGTACATTGTGTACCATCTGAAAAATCCACCAACTGATCAAGATACAAGTGAGAATTAACCCCGTGCCGAACAAAAATCGCTGATGAAATGTCGATACTCGTGAAAATGCCAGAAAGTTGTATATCTATACTGTATCTTGATCGTAGACGAAGTAATTGGGTGGGCGCACCCAACGCACTGCAAACCGAACCGATTCTTTAACGTAAAATGGCCGGTGTGCAGTGCAGTGCTTTGGGAATGGTGTGCCCGTCCAACTAATCCGACCCCTGAGCTCACATCGCAAAGACCCAACACGGGATGGTTAAAACTACGAAATAGAGACCGCTGGAATGTGGACGCACCGCGAAGGGCCTGGTCAGACTGCGGCAAAATCGAAATAATCCTAGGATTATAATCCGAATCTCCATAGTAACTTGCCGCCAGAGCGGCAAAAGCGAGAGTTGACGCTCCAAAAAAAAAGCAAGAACGGATCACGCTTTTCCGCTCCAAACAGGATTTGACGCTGATACGCCATTGACGCTGATAATCACTGATTTTTTCATCTCGATATCGAGGAGCTAATTGGCCACGGACAACAACAAAACTCATAAGGATGGTTGCAAGGATTGCACTGAAGGTGTTGGCGATCCCCAAGGTGAAGGAATTTGACGTCGTTCTTGGAGATTACCACTTGACGCTCGAAATGAAGTTTGAATTTTCACTCTCCCCACATGTGTAGTGTGATCGCGATTCAAATTCTGGACGCTTTTCTGTTTTCGTCAGGCAACCAAGATTTGCCGCAGTCTGACCAGGCCCTAACTTAAGGGGTCGGTCTGGATTTCAGTTGCCAGCACTGGACTTCCTACAGATAAAGCTGCAACATGCCTCAAATTGCAAAGTTGATACTACATCATACATGTACTACCGGTGGCAGTACATCACTGCACTTTAAAGCCGATGTGAAAATTAAAATTTTCATCATCATTTTAATTTCCGAGTTTTGGGTCGCGGTGCCGAATATAGCCAATTATTTAAAGTAGCCGGCGAAATGTTGTACCTTTTAGTACACTAAACGTGCAATATCCTATACATAGAACAGCCAGTGCAGTGTACGTGTAGACCTATCTACGTGCTGTAGGTCTACACGATTGTGTACAGATTTTTTTTTAGATCTGCGTCCATCATGTTCGCGACTGGCCGCGACTCAGAGTGGTAGATCTACAGCTGAGGTATCATCTCGCCAAGCCTTCATAGTAAAAATGTAGATGTACACTATGAATGATGCTCCTGAATCTCAGATGTCATGTAGTCTTTTTTGGTACTGTCTCACGGGAATTTTGAGCACGAACCGTGTGTCTGCATTGCCAGCGGTATTTGGCAGCATGTCGCAAACCAGTAGGACGAGCGTGGATGTCCTCCGCTATCGCGAATAGGCTATGCATCTAGATAATGTCTGTAGAAAACTTTGTGGACGCGTTTAGCCAAGTAGCTGCGAAAACACATTGCCGGTGCAAAAGCTTACCGGTGAGGTAGCTTTCAGCCTGTTGCAGAGATTTTACTGAAGGACTAACACGTCAGGAGGAAAGCTCCGCTCAGCAGCCGCAGCTATGCGATGCACCGAGCTTGAACGAAGGCCGTCTCTTCTTTCGCCCCAAGCGCTGTAACAGTACTTCGTGGCGGTGGTCGTGAAGCCAGGCCAGGGTAGGTCATACTACAAAGGCGCTAGGCATAAGTGGCTGAGAGTGAGATCGTCCTTGCAAATCATTGATTGTCCTTGCGAATCATTTTACAAGGTCAAGGACTTCGCTGGCCATGGCGTTTCCTGACGAAGCCTGAAACACGGGTACCGGGGTGCAAAATTTGTAATGCTCCATCTACATGTACATGTACATTGTACATGATGATGTGATTGTACACGCATGATGCACTCTCACTGTCCAAGTGCACGCATACGTCCGTTATCCGGACACAGACTGAGTTTGTAATGGGCACTTCGAGTTCCATACCGGTGGTATCTACCAGGTCTACGTGTCAGTACTGGCAAGAGTAGATTCTACATGAAACCCAGAATGTGCAGCAGGGATGGGTTGCTGTCACGGCGGAATTCCGAGATTACATCATTTTAGTGATGTAGTGTGTACAAACAGGGGGCAGGGTTCAAGCAGGTCTGTTTCTGCACAACTGCAGCTCAGTTGTACGCACTACGCCATTTCCCGCCTCAGATCTGTACGCCAAATGTGATGTAATCACGGAATTCCGCCGTGACAGACACCCATAGCAGAAAAGGCCCCAAGCTGCACACTCTGGGTGTCATGTACTCTTGGTACTGGGCATGCACCCTTTGGGCGAGTCTCAGTGGAAATATCACTACTCCTTTCTCATAGTGTGGACATAGAGACGCCATATCTATGGCCTTTCCCATCAAAATGTACATGATTGTATGTGATTCGGAGTTATGGACAGTCCAACATTTCAAAGTTTCGGGCACTGCTTGGTCCCAGACTGCCTGGATAAACGAGGTATCAGTCATGGACAATCAGTTCGACTGCTAGCTTCCTGTAGATCTACCACCCGCACAGCCTGCAGGCACAGACCAGCTCCTGGCACTAAAATAGCCTGTCAGTATAAATGCAGTAATACCTGTCAAGGCGACCACTCGAATAAGGCGACCACCCGGCTGTCCTAGAAGACCACTGCAACCAGGATGCTATCTCCAGTCAATTGGCCCTGGATAAGGCGACCACCTGGTGACAGAGACCACATTTTGAAGGTCCCTTGAGCGGTCATCTTAGACAGGTTTCACGGTATAAGGACGTAGGTTTATGGTTCAGTGGCCTGCTCGTATACCTGGCATTACAAGGTCAATCTTCCTGATGATAGCCAACTTGGCCGCATTGGAACTGACATTTTACTCGACCATGACTTGATGGACTCACGACTGCCGTCCAGAGCACACAAAAACTCTATTGAACCTTCCACTCAGCGAACCCTGCGATAAAGCACCACTCCCTACTCAACGCAATAGTGTTTCGCCGAATTCATCAGTTGAGCTTGCGTTGGCTAACGAAACTATAAAACATGTTTGCGATCCGAGAGCCTTGCATTATGCAATGCCCAACCAACCAAAACGAGTGATGGTACGGTGGACCTCTCTTGAGGCCTGGACAGCAGTCTAGTGTCCTGTCCCCGGGGAAAATTGCGATTCCGCGGCCGCTTTTTTTTCCGCGTTTTTGCGATTTTTTAAAGACCGCGTTTTCCGCGATTTTCCCGCGTTTTTTTACTTTTCTGTTGCACTACACGTACACACAGTGCACTGTTCGGTCAGCAACGTCTCATCCGGTGGCGGCTTTGTACTCAAATATGACGAGCGCTTAGGGTTGGTTCACATATCGCCGGTACGCGCCGGGAATCAACGGGAGTGGGCCTCTTGCAACCTCTCCCGGCGCACTACGATTATGTGAACCAGTGCAGCCGTAACAAAATCATACGGTAAAATATCGCAAGGGACCGCCGGCAAAGGTGGACAGTGCCCAACTCTTGCGATCTGCCCCGGCACCGATCCCGTACGATTTTGACCAAAAGTGGTTTGTGAACCGTTTGCGCCGGTGATCGCCGGCTGCCGGAAGCCAGACTTTGTCAAAATTTCAAACCAAGGCTCGTCCTAAATTTTCCTAAATTGAAGCTAGAGACGAGGTTCGTTCGCCATTCTTGTAATTGCTTCAAGGTGGCAAATATGTCAGCATATCAACCCGTCCTTTTCGGATGATCTGCTTGACTGTTGTGCAACTAGCCATTGGCGGACTATGCTCGGCCAATCGTCAAATTATGCTTTTGATTATGCCACAATTATGCCAACAAATATGCTGAATTATGCTGAATTATGCTCGGTTCAACTATGTATTCACGCTGTACATAGAGGATTGAGAAACCACGCATACACACACGGCCATGCCCTAAGCATAATTTTTGTCTAAACCGAAAGATTATGCCGACCTTACACGTTGGAATCCGTATATTATGCCGGAGCATATTTTTTTGACGAAATCCCAAGATTATGCCAAATATTATGCCGGCATAATCCGCCAAGGGCTATGACAAGTAGTCGTAACTGGGGTATTTAAAAAAAACATCTGCAGGCTTTCTGACAAAGCTGTATTATGCCCCTGAGCATAATTTTTGTCTAAACCGAAAGATTATGCCGACCTTACACGTTGGAATCCGTATATTATGCCGGAGCATAATTTTTTAACGAAATCCCAAGATTATGCCAAATATTATGCCGGCATAATCCGCCAAGGGCTATGTGCAACTTAGGAGACAAATACAATTGAAACAAATAAAAAATACGATGGATACATTGGCAAGTTCTTGTGACTTCATCAACGTTTGCATGCATTAATTCGACACCATTGCTTACTAGACTGCAATAAAATGTGTAGAAGTAGTTTCCTGATCTCCAGTAAAAGGTAGCAACCAGTGGCCATCAACGAAAGACCTTGAACTACTGAAGAAACAAAGAATTCAAGGTTCAATTGGCAAACCTGTGGTAGGATTTGGACACATTTTGTGCTACTTTGTACCGTACTGGCAATATATGTTGCCGCGTAACGCGTAACGCAGGGGGGTGCGGCGTAACGCGCGACCAGGCTAGTGCGACAAATTTTCGTTGAGTTCGTAACGCGCGTCCGGCGGGGTGCGGCGATCTTTTCATTGCAGTTTGCAAAAAATGATGCGGCAATAGCAAAAAAAGGACTGCGGCAATATAGAAACCTGTGTAACGGCTCCTGTGCGACTTTGCATGTAACGCCCTGCGTGCGGCAAACATGTGCCAATGTAACGCTTCATGGCCTCACTGCGGCAACATATATTGCCAGTACGGTAGTAGATTTGTTACTCGAACCGTATGCGCAACGGATCGGGAGCTGGCTCACCGCCGATGCCCTGCGATGTCTTGCGGTGCCGATTTTGCTTATGTGGACCAACCCTAAGGGTACACCAGAGACTTGTAACTGATTGATTTCACTACATACTCACTGAAAATTGCCTCATATCAACTGCAAACTTGCCACCGCGAGATGATATCAATAATATTCACCGCATATTTACCGCAAATTCACCGCAAATTATGCCGCGTTTTTTGCCGCGTTTTTTGCGATTTTTTCCGCAATTTTCCCCGGGGACAGAATGTCAAGTCATCTCAGCAGGCACCGTGGGAAACCACACAAAGAGAGAATGCAGCACACAATGTCTTCTGTTATCACCCAAGACGCTTTGTCCACACGCATGCCCCCCCCCCCCTCTCCCTCTCTCTCTCTCACACACACCCTCACACACATATGTGCATGCATGCACACGCACACACGCGCTCTCTTCTCTCTCTCTTGTTGCTCACTGCCAAAACTGGTCACGTGGGTCTCCCCGGGAGAGGGGAGAGAGACTCAAAAGGAATCTTGGAAAGATGACTCAACTGGCTATTGAACCGCCCAACGGCCGACACCCCTGAAATCCCCAAAACTCTGGGTGGACTTGAAAATGATCCCACTTATGGGCTCACCACACCTCAGTAAGTGGGTGAGGAAAAGGTGCAGAAAAAGGGTTGACGGCATCAGGGTATCCGTCCTGAGATCCAACTGCAGTTACCCCTGCCCCCAGTGAAGGTAATACTTGCTACTAGTGTGGGTGGCTAAATCAGAGTGGATCTGATCTAAGCGTCACTAGCATCATTGAATACACAAGAGTTAATCTAGCCAGAAGCAGTCCATGGTTAACAGGTATGTATACTTCAAATACAAAGTATACGAACCCTGAAACCAACAAAGGTGGCAGATACAACAAGACACCTTCAAGGAGCCGACCTGTTGGCAACAGACCCAACACAATCAGCCATAAGTGTACCCACCAACCGGACTAGCTGGTACACACACACACACATGCACGCACGCACGGAAACGCACATGACACAGACTTAGGATAAGGGATAGAACGTATGAACGCCCCGAGTATAATCAATTCGTTCGACTGTTTAGTGTTCAAGTACAATTCTGTGTGGTACAGCCGCTAAAATCCATGCCAGAACGCCATAAACAATCAAATCTCGTGGCGAATAGATATCATCTTCTTAAAAGATATAATATGCTTCCTTGATAGCTAGTGCAATCAAGGCATTGGCACTCAACTCGTGACACTGATGTCAAAAGGCGCTAATATGAATCAAGAGTTATCAACTCGGCCAGGCCAAACGCCACATGGCCGCACAAGCTGTTTGTCGGGTTGCGTGCGACAAAGCGCAGCTTGTCGACTCCATTCACTGAGATGTACACGTCGTGCCCAGACCCGTACGTCTGCTTTGGGTTGAGCGAGGACTGCCGCGAACGCGCCGAGTGCTGATGCGCCATCACCCAGCTGCCAAGCAGTCGGCCGTCGCCATAGACACGAGCCTCACCGCCCACCATGAGCGCGAACGCGGTGCATCGCGGGAGCAGCGAGTTCGTATCCATACCGACCACCACGTGCAGGAAGTTGAATTTCAAGCCGGACTCGCGCATCCGTCCCAGATTAAACTCGACTGTGCCTGGGGCGTGAAGCCCGATACCACGCTTGAACGGCCTGCGACCGCCGCTGAACTGGATTCGTCGCCGAAAGCTGGCGCGGTGCCAGCTGATAGCCCAATCGCCGGCAGTATCAATACCGACACCCCACGATATCGGCCCAACCTGTGCATACAGGCTACTGTTCCATACCGACGACCCCGGGCATGCAGACTTGCCCAGAGTGCAGCTCAGCGGGTAGTGACCGCGCTCAAAGTCGCTCTCGCAGTCGCGATTGCACGGTGGAAACGCGTACAGCGTGCTATGCTCCAGGCGTGGATTGGCCCAGATGGCCTGGTTGCAGAGGCGACTCCCGGTGCCGCCCAGAGCCTCGATGCGAAGAGTCCTCCGTGCCCTGGAGATGAGAATGGAGAGGTTTCTGCTGGGCTGGTTGAACACGTCCAGCTCCACAGTCTGCGCTATGTCGTTGTCCAACAGGATGTTGAATGTCATCGGCCGGTACAGTCGCTTCTGTGCTGGCGTACGCAAGCGACTCAGGCACTTGCGCTGAGACCGGCTGCTCAGACCCACGGTCACGTGGAAAACGTTCAGTGAGGTTTCATCGGCCACCAGGTGGCGGATTTCGCCCAGGTCGAATGCCACACGACTGTCGGCGTGCGCTCCGATGAAATGCTCCAGGCGCCCCAATCCGTCCATATACGTCGGCAGGTGCCTGCGTTTTCTGATGCTGCAGTCGATGCAAATCTGCGACCTGTTGTGGAGCTTCTCAATGACCGCGTAGTGGCCTGGCTCTTTGTATTTCAGGGCAGTTCCCGAGCAGCCTCCGAGCAGACACGATAAGTACACTCCCTTGCCGTCGATGCGGCATTCCTTGCCGCACGCCGGCAGTATCGGCCGCCCGTTGCTGAGACTGGCCTGCGACCAGACCGCGTAGATGCGGGGCGCGCAGAACGGGCTCAGGCGGAAGTGCCGCTTCTGGCGGTACACGTGCAGGCGCAGCGTCCGGACGTTCTCCGGGAGATGGATGGCGAAGTTGACCTTCAGCTTGGCATCGGTGCGCGTCTTGAGGTTCCTTGTGAAGAGTCGTCCTCTGTTAGAGATTATCGTGAAGGTGATAGTGTCATCCGGATTCTGATTCTCCCGCCGGTCACTCTCCAGCGAGCACACACGCTCTTCTTCGTCATTGGTTACCAGGCCGATTTGTGCAGAGAAGAAATCAAAGGCAAGCCCTCGCTCCCTGTACGCCGACAGATTGAAGCGCATGGACCTACGCCACGACGTGAACGGATGGATTGTCATGGCAAATCCGTTTGTTGGTCGTAGATCAGATGCCGAGTGGTTATTATGATATTTGTTCCCGGGGAATTCCCCCAGTCCGACCGAGTACCGATCAGTTTCAAACACCCACGGTTCAACATCCTCTGCATGCTCGTTTTCATTCTCATTGGACATGCTCTCACGCCCTCTGGGACTCTCCTTGTTCATGACTGTTTGGGGGAGGCATGTCGGGATCAGGCAGGACAGGTGGAAGAAGCCTGCACGCAGTCCTTCCGCGCAGTGTCTCATGCATGGCGCAAAGCACTGGTCCTTTTCGACGATCTTCAGTCCTCTCCTTGGCGCTACGCAACTGTAGTCGTCCGTGTCGCGTGTGTCGGGTAGGTAGGGTCCAATGGCCTTCCTGTTATTATCATCATCATCATGATCGTTGCGAACACTTGGTGGGGTCGGCGGGTATTCCTCGCCGTCACCCTGTGCATGTACACAAAACACAAGGAGAAGGACGTTCGTCAGCATTCTACAAATTCGGTGGACTTGTCTATTGCAGAGGCTTGTTGGCGAGGCACAGGCCGGGTGCCCTAGGTCTCACCACCCTCAGTTTGCTCCTCAATTCTAACTAGACAGAAGCCCATGGGCACTTGTAAAAAAAAGTCAACAATACAAGCAAAATAGCAACAATTCAGACGAAAAGGCACTTAATTTCATAAATTATGTATGCTCATCGCAATTTTTCCGCACAAACTCATAACCCTGTCACCATGGTGCGTGCAGGTGTGCTGTGTGCTTCGACTTGGAGACAACTGGTGGAGGAAGTGCAATGCCCCTTGCACTTCATCTCACGTGACACCCATACAGCTGAGTGCTGGCCAATCGCTATGGCTATCGTGACCATTTATGGAGAATCAAATAATAGTGGAGAATGCCGTACTTAACTGGGAAGCCTTTCCCCGCCTTTCACTCACACAAGAGTGTTGATCGAAACTAAAGTTCGACGTTGAATGCTGACTGCCTTTGTGCTAATCTTAGCATGGGGGAAGACTGTGCTCTGGCTTGTGTGAGTTTAGCCGTTTCAGAGACATTACTCCAGCGCAAGTGCTGCAACGACATGGCACTTAATGACAGCATTTTTACGACCCAGGGTAAAACCTCCGGGCCAAATAGCTTAATCACTGTCTCTTGAGTTCATAGTAAAGAAACAAGGACCAAGGAACTGTGCTTTACGCTATAATGTCCACTAACACCACCAGTTACTTGGCAATCAGCTCATGTGATAACATCGCACAAACCTGACCAATGGTACTGACGTTCTACACCTAACTGGCTATCAGCTGTAGCTTTTAAAATACAACATGATGGTACATACATTGCCTACATGTATGTAAGGATGATGGTGGTGCTATGGTGGACAGACATGTACATGTACATAATACTGCTAACAACAGCTGGGGCCAATGAAATCCGATCCCCACGATCCCCACGCTAAGCGACTCTGTTTGCAAATGCCGTATTGAGCGCCCCTTCATCTGTGGTGAGCACTCTTCTACGAGGACACATTGGTGCTGACGCTTCACTTAATATAATAATTCGCGGGATTCGCGTTGGCATCGCTTGAATGTTCAGAAACACACAAACTAGCCTTCGCTTCCGCAGGCCACCCGTGTGACTATGCCTATGCCTTGTACACACTTGGGCCAGGAAATACACTTCGCTATGAAAATGGTCGGATTTCTTTGGCTCCAGCTCTGCCGGATATACCTGTACAAGTACAATCATGCAATTGTTAGATTGACAGCATGAAACAAGGAGGAGGACACTGTGTTCGAAAACAGTGACCTTACTACAACCTTCCGCGGTTGGCAGAGCCCCGGTCCCTGCGGACCATTTGAACCATATGGGTGTCGCACCCGGTTCTGACCCTCGTTATGCTAGGGGGTTAGGAGACTACTACTGATGTCGCCTTGTTGTCTTCGCTCTTTTTTGAACTTGTATGACAACTTCTTTTTCTTTCCAACTTCTGCTGGGACCGGGGCTCTGCCAACCACGGAAGGTTGTAGTAAGGTCACTGTTTTCGAACACAGTGTCCTCCTCCTTGTTTCATGCTGTCAATCTAACAATTGCGTGAACTACAACAAGGTTTATCTAATGCTGGTTTACCAGTTTTGGATTATATCACGAGTACAGTCGTGTACATAACATTGTACATGTAGGCTTTCTTGAATGAGTACGCACTTTTGGCAATCGAAATAATTATACATACAGTTTACATGTACCGGTACAATGTATATCAATGGGACCAAGGAGAACCAAGTTGCTTTACACGTTATTTTTCGGAAAAAAAACTATAATTTCGGCCCAGAAATCCGGATACAAAATAATGTAGTGACTTTTAGGTGTAATGTATATTGTAAACATTACACCTAAAAGTCACTACATTGCGGAGTATGCACTGTATGTGAAGGGAATGCTACATGTAGTACTGAAGACCACTGATAGTACATGCACTGTGTTAGGGCCTGGTCAGACTGCGGCAAATTTTGGTTGCCTGACGAAAACAGAACAGCGTCCAGAATTTGAATCGCGATCACACTACACATGTGGGGAGAGTGAAAATTCAAACTTCATTTCGAGCGTCAAGTGGTAATCTCCACGAACGACGTCAAATTCCTTCACCTTGGGGATCGCCAACACCTTCAGTGCAATCCTTGCAACCATCCTTATGAGCTTTGTTGTTGTCCGTGGCCAATTAGCTCCTCGATATCGAGATGAAAAAATCAGTGATTATCAGCGTCAATGGCGTATCAGCGTCAAATCCTGTTTGGAGCGGAAAAGCGTGGCCCGTTCTTGCTTTTTTTTTTGGAGCGTCAACTCTCGCTTTTGCCGCTCTGGCGGCAAGTTACTATGGAGATTCGGATTATAATCCTAGGATTATTTCGATTTTGCCGCAGTCTGACCAGGCCCTAACATGAGACTTTAGGTGTATTACAAGTTCTTGCCGGGGGACCTGATTGATATCATCCGCGTCAAATTGGCCATTTGGCTAAAAGACAGCTTAACTCTTAATCATTGTTGTGATTTGCTTTCAAGCAATGTGCATAATCAGTAAATTGATGTTGCTGTTTTTGTTTTGGTTTTTTTGGTTTCCCGTTCTCGGGGCCTTCTATTCGGTACTCTTTGTAGTTGTACTTCTGTACAGTTGAGCTATCCGAATTCATATATAAAACATTTTTTTTAATATTATCAGGTAAAGTATTTTAAAAGCTCGCATATTCGTGTTACCACCGGTGTTGAGATACGAGTACGCAAACAGGTTAGCGAATGTCGCTTGTATTAGGCCACGACCATGCCTGTACGGTAGTACTAGAGCATAATTTTACCTGAGATTGTCAAGACCAGTACGTTTCGTCCATTGGTATATGTATGGTATTATACTCAATCTGCGGACAGCATGCTGTTTCGTTCTTTTTGAACTCATCAGCGCAGCACAGAGGAAATGAGGCCGAACCTGATAGCAATGGAAATAAAAATTTCCAATCAGGCCCGAACGTACCTTGCCAGAGTGCTCAAACTGACAAGTCAGTGAGCTCTGCATAACGCAAACAGCAAAGGCACTACCCCACGCAAGAGTGCTCAACTGCTACAAAAGCAGGAGCGAAATACTCAATCTGCGGACAGCATGTATGGTATATACGTATGTACAATGATCGAACCACTTCAGGCGGCTGACGGTACTACTAGCACCCTAAAATACCTTCTGATGCCCCTGATCTGACACCGCTGCATTCAGAAAAAGGCTCAGTTTCGCTAAAACAGTAAACGATCGCCACATCAACATGTTCATTGTGAACATGGAGATGTGGTTACACCTACCCACATTCGGACACTTACAAGTAATGTGATTACATCTTGCCAGCGAGGCAACAGAAACCGGAATGCTACGCGTGAACAATGTCATAGAATCAAGTGCCATCTAGCATAACAGATTTCCACCCGATCGATTCACGTCAACTACATGATAGTAGTTGTAACTTGTAGTGCTGTCCCGGACATCATGCCTTCTCCCCTTATACCCCACAATCTCCTCACTCAAGTGTTACGAAGCATGCAGTCGACTACACAGCGTGATCTAAGGCATGCTGCAGCAGGGATTCCTAACTCGAGTCACTGGCTCACTGCATAACAGCCTCATTAGCATGTGCCCAGCGTTCCTCAAAACCACATCCTAGACATACCGCTCACAACTGCGAGCAGCCTGCTCACGGAGCCAGCTAAAAAGGCATTTTTGAGTCTATCAGGACAAATTGTGCCCAATAATAGCATTGTGATTCTTGGCTAAGTTCCTTCGTCGTTCGCTAAAGTTTTCTATTCACTTTCATGCATTGCTTCCTGACTCTGGCCCACCTCTACAGATGTAGGAAGTGACTATTTTCGTACAGTGGTAGAAGCAGGTCCTGTCACACACACAGGAATGCCGTGGGGTGCCAGTAGAGGCCATCAATCCTGCTGATTTCTATTAAAAAGGAACGATTTGATGATGTGCACCGCCTATTTTTGTACCCCGAAGAGAAAGAGATCCGGGGACGCCAGATTCAATAACTGCTCCAAACAATCTTACTGTAGTGGAGATATGGGCTTTCGATCCCAACGTAATCGTGTCACCTCTCCTATGGAAGTAGTGGAAGAACTAGGACTGCGTTTGCTTCATCGCAGGATTTTGGAAATGTTTTCTTGTATTGTATAATCATGTTGATGATGCAAATCGACGGTCAACTCTGCCCAATATGATACGGACGTACCTACATGTACACGAATGATCCCTACACAAAGTGTCTGAAGTCCTTGCTGCAAGTTGTTCTGCCTTGTGTAGTACAAATGATCCCTCGTACATGCAAGTACGCAATTTGGTGAAGGGCACGAGCTTCACTCTTCGCGTGTCGGTATTCACTAGGAGGCGGGAGGTCACTCACTCAGCTTCACTCTTGGCCTTTGGTGTTATCTTTCACCCAGGTACTGACTGACACGGTGGTGTTGCATGGTCACTCAACTACACTGTACAATCATAATTATGTATGCTGTCAAAGAGCTGAGTGATGCTTCGTGCTAGTTCGGTCTGGTTACAGTTCACTCTGCCTTCTACGAGGTTGGAGGCTCCTCTTGCAAGTGTTTGTTCTGCGCCGTAAACCGCGATGGAGTGGACAGGAGCCCACTCCCTACACAGGACTGTAGATTTGTTTACCTATAGTGGCACGCCTGTGTTTCTGCGTGCCCCAACGCAGTGCTGCCATGCCAGGAATACCACAGCAGTTGGTATTGGGAGACACGGTGAATAATTAGATGACTGACTGACTAGTTCGTGGTCAGGTCAGAACAATTCGATCCGAGTCAATTTGCAGAGCCACTTCGCGTCACAAACAATAGCCAACAACGTATCTCGCTCTTGATCAGGACAGTCACGCCAAAGGGCATGCATGTACTGCCTTTCTGCAACCAGGCATCACGTTAAGGGCTTGAACATCAGTGAACATAATTGAAACCTCCGAAATGAAATACCACAAAATCAGCAGGACGTGATTATCAGTACACTACGAGCAAGGTGGGCGCACAACCGCAACCACATGAACTTCTTTACGTTACGCATCAGTAAGAAGGTGACTATGCCATGGATTTTTATGATTTAAAGCCTTCACATTATCTTCTTCTAGAATTGATCGACATGTTAGCATGGTCCCTTAAGGCTTACCTTCGTCGCAGCTGGCTGCAGTCCAACAACAGAGCCTTGCGCACCAGAGCTAAGTACATGTATGTGCAGTACCACTGTGGCGCACAGTAGCGAAACGAGCAGCGACAAGGAGGCAGGGCCGTGAGAGGGCTGATGCGGGGGCTGACCGGCCAACAAGCGTACCGACATTACAGTAAAGTTATTGTTCGGTGATGGGGTTGAAAGCGGTGGAGCACACAGCGGGGAATCCCTGACAAGCGACGAGACAAGACCTCGACGAACGGGACGAGAGCGGCAGATAACATCCACCCTCCCGTCGTCCTCTGCATGAAGCAAACCTTCGGAAGTAGGCCGCAGCATGCACTATGAGTATGACGATGATACAATGTAACTCCTTAGTGTTACATGTAGTACAAGCAACCCCTCGGACTCTGCACAGCGGGGGTATTCCGTGAGTGTTTGCAGCTCACCTGCAGGCTAGACTGGAAAGTTCCACTACTGCACTAGCACTCGACACTGACACTGATTCTGCGCCGCAGTGCAAGCATTCTTTCAGCAGCATTCTACGGAGAGAGGACGTGTGATACATGCACCACGACTGGCATACTCCACTCTGGAATAGCTTAGAGATCTCGGAGAGCACACCGCTTGTGGGTTGTCACCGTGAAGCACAGGTTTTCAATATTCCCTTCCAGCAGTTTCGCGACTTATATTACATCCTCGTTCGACGAGAGGTCTCTGACCTGGTGCAGATCGCAGAGGACGACACATCTAGCGAGCTCTTCCAGCGAGGCTTGGGGCTCGTTTGTAGCAAACGCCGACCTATTGGAATTCTGTCCGTTGCCCAAGACGTAAATTTCTACTTATGGAACGGACTTGCCCCAGGGCCTCTACTCATGCTGTTTATTCCTTGCACTTCGCAAGCTGTCCCCGCTTCGAAACACCCCTCAAAACATGATGATGACCTCTAGCAGCTACCAGCCCGGATCAATACGCGCACGACACTGCTGGATAGGACCCTGCGTGGGTGTAGTGCGCTGTTTGCAATACTGCGATGACAATTTTGGGACACGCGCAAAATCGATTGGTTGATCTAATTCACGCGCCCGCACTGGGGCCATGCGAACATTGTCAGGCAAGCCTTCTTGTACATGATACCTCATCTCGGTAGTCGATCTGCTGCCGGGGCGTATCAAACCACGAAAGAATCCAGAATCCACTCTCGACTGCTAGCCATACCTTGCTCATCACGCCCCTGTGCCCTGTTTCTCCGCTGTGAATTCAGAGACCTCATCTAGCTCATTAGAGCGAGAGAGAGCTGCCCTTACGCGAAACAAGCTATCTCTCAGACGTAAAGAGGTTACGATACAAGTACCTGATCACGATATCAGAAGCATGGGCTCAGCGTCCAGGCGTTCGGCTGATGACAGCTCAAGATCAACAGGAAAAGGAGGTGACCCTCCAACGTGTCTCCACTTGGGCCAACATCTTACGTTAAAATACAACGCACTGCCAATGGTTCTGTGGTGTGTGGTGTGCGAATGAGGCATATTGTTGTGACTAGACCTGGAGGTGACACAGTAAACCGAAAGGTATGCTACAGTATACCGAAGCCTAAACATCACTGGAATTCGTGTACAGCACCAAGTGAAACGTGTATATATAACAAGTACATGGTCGCGTCTTCAAGTACATTGCACAATCATATTAAAAAT